TAATGCGACCGGCAGCTGACCGAGCGAGGCTGCCCTGACTTGCCTGCGGTTCCCTAATGTTGGTCAACCAATTGCCCTCGATGCTCCGATTCGCAGTCACAGTCACAGTCACAGTCACAGTGACTGTCGCTGTCACTGTGACCCTGACTGCTGGCAGCGTTGAGTGCTTTTTCTGTTTAATTTTATTAATTATCTGTGTAATCTTTGAAGTTGTCTGCCAGCATCTGAGTGTGAGTATGTGTGTGTGTGTGATGGTGCGTGCTTCCACATATGCGTAAGAGTTTGCAGCACGGTTTTTGCGTTTGCTCCTAATCGCATCAAGCAGCACTACCTGCCTCTCTGTCTGTCTATCTGTCTGCACATTGACTGGCAGTCGAAAAGTTTGTAGCAAGTTTGAGGAAACAGCCGCGGGGCATTTAGACAAAAGACTTGGAGCTAACGAATTAGACAGTGAATGGAGAGCATCAAACAGCAATAGAAAATAAATAACACGATTAGATAGTCAAGGAAAACTGTCTAAACTTTATTGAAGTTACTTATGGATGTGCAAAAGAAATGCTGAGCATAATGCCAAATAACAATTATATTAAAGGCAAATATAACAATTTTGAAGAAAATAATGAATTAACGAAAAGTTTCGAGAAAAATTTAAATTCATCACTGAGAGAGCAATTGCAAATGAAGCCAGCGCCTAGATTTTTAAACAAACTGTCAGTATCCGAAGCATATATTAATTATAAATGGCATACATTCATATATAAATACACACATATGTATATGCCTTCTAATTGGATGACTTAAGCCATTATTACTAGTTGCGTTCTCTGCAGCCATCAGCCATCAAAGCGAGCTTGTGTCTATATAGCCATCCCGTTTTCACTCAGCGGCAACATGATCTACATACGTTCAGGAGCAACTGTATGTGTCTTTCTCTATCTCTCTCTCTGTCTATCGTCCTTAGCAAGTAGTGCTTCATCTCTCGGATAACATTTTTACAGCAACACCACCAAACTCTCAGTCACTCACTAATACTAGTGCAACAACAGCAGCCAATCGCGGTCAAATTTAACAGAGTTAGGAAAATGTAAACAGACTCTGCAAAAATAAAATTTTGCTAATTATCAAAGATTTATATAAGCAAATTTATGTACCCATGTAAAAATTATATAGAGAGTTAAAAAAAAGTATTTTAATTCCCTGAGTCCATTAATTGGATATGTTCTATGTATTATATTAAATTTAGATACATATATTAATTGGTTTAAAATATTTTTAAAAGTTTCCTAATTAATCTTAAGCAATATTATTTAATAAATATAATTTTTATTT